ACTCACTCACTCACTCACTCACTCACTCACTCACTCACTCACTCACTCACTCACTCACTCACTCACTCCCTCCCTTCTATATTCATGTTAAATTCCAGTATTTTGTATTTTAAAACCAACATGTCGGACATTCCCTGACATTATTTTCATAGTTTATCATTTTTCTTCGTGGTTTTCCCTCCAGTGGCGTTGAGAAAGATCGACACCATCCACCATCCGTCTGTGGACAAGCCCAGCCTTCCTCCAGAGGTCTTCCAGAAATCTCCGCCGCCAACCGAAACCGCACACAAGGCGCCCCTGGCTGACAGGCCACAGCTGGGCGACCTGCCGCCCAAACCACAGGTTTCTGAACTTCCCCCCAAGCCAGGAGAACTTCCTCCGAAGCCGCAGCTCTCCGACCTCCCCCCTAAGCCCCAGCTGGGCGACCTGCCGCCCAAACCTCAGCTCAAAGACCTTCCCCCCAAGCCGCACCTGGCAGACCTGCATCCCAAACCGGGGACATCCGAGTCCGCTCCCCGGCCCCCTGCTGGGGATTCAACAACGCAGAGGCCGCAAACGCAGCCGCCCCCTCCGCCTCAGACTCAGCCGCAGCAGCAAGACTCGCCGTCGCCCAACCAGCAGGTGGCGAACATAGCGACACCATCACAGCAAACCGCAGAGGACACTAACGGGACGCCGCCGGGGACCGCCGAGACTCCGGTGCCACTCCCAAGGAAGATCAATACCGTATGAACACTTTTTAGCTTTTGAATAAAAAATTTTCTGTTTTTGTTTATTTACGAGAATTGTACAACGTTATTCTATTAAAAGCAGCTACTCATTGTCATGATGGCAAATTTTACTGGACAATAAATTGTTATAGAAATAGAAATTATTGCAATAACATATAATATTGTCTTGAGCCCATTTTCAAGTGGTCATGTACAATGGCTGTGCCATTACTTTAAATTCTAACAAACATTTAATTCTGGAACCGAAGACATAAATATCTAAAATAAATAAACAAATCAGAAATAAATGTACTATCATTTAAAAGCAAAGCACCAAAGAGAGCAAAGCACCAGACTGAAAACTTTTGTCATCCAGTTTTTAGTAGGAAAAGGGAGAGAAAAGAGAAAAACAATAAATCATGCAAATGGAAATTATTGAGCTTGATTTAATTTATCATGCAATAATTGATTGATTGCTTTTAGCTGGTTTTACCTCTGTACAATGGCTTCTGGAAAAGACAAGTGTTTTGTTGTTGACTTACCATACCATACAGAAATCACTTCCTACATTCTTGTTGGTTGTGCACGAGGCCCTACTTCTGCTTTTCAATAGATGTAAAGTTGTATAATTGTGCATCTGATTGCAGCCATTTTCATGTGCGAGTGCAAACGTTGAGTTAGGGGCGTGGCCAGTGTCTGCTTATTTTGATTTAAAGACACCCTAAAAGATGTTTTGCAGTAGTTATTTTAGCTTTCCTTTTTGTGTGTCCAGGGTAAGAATAAAACCCGGCGGGTGAAGACTATCTACGACTGTCAGGCGGACAACGACGACGAGCTGACATTCGTTGAAGGAGAGGTGATCATAGTTACAGGAGAAGAGGACCAGGAGTGGTGGGTGAGTTCTGCCAGAAATGTCCACGGCGCTGGTTGGATTTCCTCACAACTTTTCAAGATATCATCCTTCGTTTTCTGCTTCTCTTCCCAGATCGGACACATCGAAGGAGATCCGGACAGAAAAGGCGTGTTCCCCATGTCTTTTGTGCACATCCTGAGTGACTGACAGCCAGACTTGCACTATGTCTCTCCCTAAAGTGGGATTTAATGTAAATAAATACCTTATCACACAGTAAAACCCCTGGTCACACGGCAGGTGTCCTGAAGAAAACAAAGTAATGAAGAAAACCAAGAAGGCTCATCCACGCTGTACAAAGAATGTGTGTATTCCTCCTCTACCAGTATTATCTTAACCCTTATAGCATGGCTGAGACAGAGCCACTCAAAACAAAACCCTAGCACTTACCTAGAAGTCTATGTTTATGCTGTTCCTGTGTATATATGTATGTAAATATATATATTTGTGTGTGAGTGTACATACATGTTTTATTGTACAAAACATGTACCTGCTCTCTGCCTGTCCGAGGTGGGTAGAGCGTGAATTTTATCTGTATTACTTTCACCGGCCCTCGAGTAATTATCATCTTATATTTCTGTGGGGTTGGCAGAGTGGGGCGGGGGGGATAGATATGAAATTGAATGTGAAATAGGTCATGTCATTATTTGTCTTGCATCCCTGTTTACCACCATAGTTGACTGAAGAGGCAGGAGTCTCCCGCCGATCCTCCCCCGAAACGGGGGGACAGTATTCTCATCAAGTGTACTCCTTGTTCTTGCTTGCTTTTTTGTGTGTTACACGTATTATGGTTGTTTTACCGTACAGAAACCTGCTGCTACTGTGTGGTGGATTTTAAAAAGAAGAAAAAAAAAAAACATTCAAAAGCCTGTGGTTCACTATAGGTCACTAATTTTACTCTTTGTTACACTGTCCACCCGTACGTATGCTCTGTGTGTTGAAAACCCGACGCCATCTCAGCTTTTCCTTGGTGAAACGACGACTGGAAACGAGTGGAGTGCAGCGTTCAGACACTCACCTCAGGGTTTGAAGAGCCACTATAAAAACCTAGCAGGACTACACAGGAAAAAAGAAAAAGAAAAGAAGCAGTATATCCTGTTGTTTTAAGCCACTATCAACCACATGTATGGGAATCTCAACAGGACATCTTAGCAATAATGTTTTTTTCACAGGCTAGAAGCTTCAGAACCTGTGTTCACATTTCAGTGTCTTGTAAAACCTCATGAGCTTGAATTTTGTTCAGTTTTTTTAAGTTTGATCTAGTTTGAAATCATTCCTTGTTACTGGAGAACATTTCCAGGTTGCCTGTGAACCAGAAATGTCTTTTAGATGAAGGTTGTGGAGACTATGTATTTTCACCCAGTCCTCACTGACTTACAGTTCTTCCCATGTTAAGGAACAAACCCATCAACCCATTGTATCATTAAAAGTGCTGTACCGAAACAATGAGTTTGTTTTTTTTTACTTGTGGTTTGAATTAACTCCAAGGGAAACTGTTATTACTGGACTTCATGTTAGAGGGGAAAATATTCCAGTCGCATTTCAACACGCGGCCTGAGGAGACGTTGAAGATTAGGGAACCTACTGGTTTGTGAAATGGAAAGTCTGGAAAACCAGTGGTATGTACTCGTTTTGTTCTGTGACCAGAACAAGAGTGAAGTTTCTTCAAATTTAACAAAATTGGTGTGAAACATTTTGTGCTGCTATCATTTTAAAGATAATACATTTCTCCAGAGGTCAAAGGTCACACCAGTCTGTCTGCTTTTACCAAATCAAATTAAATATGTTCTCTATGCTGTTTCCAGACATCACCAGAGATTAAATGATAAATGTATCACGCTGTTTATACTGCTAAAATATATGGAGGATTTGATTGACAAAGTTACTTGGTTTTCTTAATGTGGGGAGGCTGGTTGACCTTTTATGACCTCTGGAAACGGTTTTAAAATCAATTTTTACTGTACAAACCAGTAAAATGTGTAAGTTGAAGACAGGATCCAACTTCACTCAAGCGAGTCGCTACTTTGGTTTATCTTTAGATCTCCATTTTATTCCGCATGCAGAATAAAAACTTCCTTTTCAGTTTGGCATATTTCACAAATTTATATTCAAAGCTTTCCCTCGTGTCCGTTTTGCTTCCAAACATCCAGAATGTTAGAATCTGATCTTGATCAAAAGTTACTTAAGTTTCTTCAAATATACAAAATGCTTTTTTCCTTCGTGTAGCTTATGTAAATCAAAATCCTGAAATTTGGTTTACAATACAGCAGTCACTGGTTTGGTTGGCAGCCATGTTGAATTGTCAAATTTTCCAGAATTTAGTCTCGATTTGAGTCGAGTTTAAATTCTAAAGATTTCTAAGATGTTTGCCATCTTAAAATCTACAACTTTGAGGCTAAACTTGAAACTTCCAAAGCTGAAGTTTTCCTTTAAACTTTTACATTATTCCAATTTCAAGTTGTGCTTTCTTGCCCCATTTTCCAAGACTAATGTAATTCATCCTGATGAAACACTGGACAAATCAGGTCTGGAAACAGATTTGTTTGGGAACTGAATTTTAGTTGCTGCCCAGACTCTTTAATCTTTTGATACACCGAGCAAATTCATGCAGACTTAAAGACTTTGAGACTACAGGCTAGCTACATGTCACAGGTTAGCTTTGCAACCTTTAGTTGCAAATTTTATCAACTTTTCCACCCAGTTAGAAATACTTTAAACTTCAATGCCAGTTTAAATTTCCCATTTCTCCATGTAATGCCAATACTAAGATATGCCCACCATTCTTGAGTCAACTTTTATAGAAGTTTTACTTTAAACAGTGCTGAAAGCAGTCATCCAACTTGTTCTACATTAATATGTAGCCTTTTACATTAGCCTAGCTAAAAACCCAACTCGAGTATGCCAACTAGTCTAAACCTTTTACAAAGAGTTGCCAACCAGTTTTCATTTATACACCAAAAATGTCAACTTGCAAGAATGAGACTTTGAACTCAAATATTCTTTTAATTAAGATTCAGTCCAACTTTTACCAAAACTTAGCTTCCAATAAACTTAAAGGAAATTGTACAATTCTACAATTTTAGAAGCAATATTAACACAGGAATGTCATACACCTTAAAGAAACTAAACACCATTTGTTGCAACACAAATGTCAACTGTCTCCAAATAAAAATGCTGTTTTGTAGCGATAGAACACATGCAAGCTAAAACCAGCTCATTTAGACAGTTGTGTTTTCTGGGAGGCTTTTGACCCTTGCTCCATCTCCACAGACTTTATCACCCCGACTGCAACTGTCTGCTTCAGGTCTCTTGCTGCAAAGCGACCTGCAGACAGAACATTGTGAGGACAGGAGGTACAACAAGTTGGACATTAGTGCAACGTTTGCTTTACCTAAAGGAGGGTAGGTGAAGAAGCTCTCCACACACATTGGCTTAATGGGAACCAGTTTGACTGTAGCTGCATCTCCAGACTGCAGCAACTGCGGGTTGTCCGCCAGTTTCTTCCCTGTTCTGCGGTCGAGTTTCTCCTTCAGCTCAGCAAATCGGCAGGTGACATGAGCAGTGTGGCAGTCTAGGACAGGAGAGTAGCCCGATTTTATCTTCCCTGGATGATTCAGGATGATTACCTAAAGGAGAAGCATGTTTATTTGAGTCTCAGAGGCAAAATTTATTCAACTTTCTAGGTAACAAACCTGAGCTTCGAAGCTGTGGACGTCAGAAGGAGGGTCATGCTGGGCATTGCCGGCCACGTCTCCACGCCGCAGGTTCTTTACAGAGACGTTCTTGATGTTGAAGCCAACATTGTGCCCTGGCAGAGCCGTATCCAGACCTTGGTGGTGCATTTCTATGGATTTCACTTCTGCCGTGAGCTTGGCAGGGGAGAACATCAAGGTCATGCCTGGTTTGAGGACTCCAGTTTCAATCTTTCCCACTGGAACCGTCCCAACACCTAGAGAAACTAACTGTTAACATCTTATAAACTTAAACATCTTAGCTTCATCATCGCCTTCCTATACAACTCTGAAGTCTGGAGAATTGAGCCAAAATAAATCAAGTTGGCATCAGCTCAATAGTGTGAAACTACACGTTTCATAATCCGTCTTGAAATATTTCAGTTTCTCAACTACTGTTAAAGTCTCATTAACGTCAAATTATAATATCGAACAAACATTAACAGCCATCTTGTTTAGATTGGCACATCTCTTCAGTGGAGAATTGTTTAAAGAGCAGGCAATTTCTGTAAGCTTCAAAGCAGTGAACTGGCACATTAAAATACACCAAAAGTAAACGTTAGCAATTAGCTTTAAATGTTTGGCCAGTTCAGCGCTATGAAGCTTACCGGAAGTTGCCTGCTACATGAGAAATCAGAAATGAAGACAGCTGTTAATGTTACTTAAATATTTGGATGAGCGGCCAACACGAACTGAACGATTTTCAACATCCTCTTGATAACACTACAATTCTAAAACGGCTCAAAAAAAAAAAAAAACCCAACGTCATCGTTCACAACTTCTGCTTGCCGAACCGGAAGTAAGCCCAGATTGAATATTCAAATCTAGCAGAATAGCGTAGCGCTGAACTAATATACCTCCAATTTTGTAGACGTCCTGCAGAGGGAGCCGTAGTGGTTTGTTGATTATTCGCACTGGAGGTTTGATCGAGTCCAGAACTTCTAGAAGAGTCTTTCCGGTTTCAGCTCCTTCCCTCAGTCGGACCTTCCATCCTTGGTACCACGGCATCTACACAAATAATTTTAAACGCGGTTCGTTGCATCATCTGGCCACTTTAAGCTCCTGAAAAGTTACCTTTTGTGTTGGTGCGATCATGTTTTCGCCCATCCAGCCGGAGATCGGAACAAACGGCACGGCCTTGGTGTCGTAGCCGATCTTGAGGAAGACCTTCACTCCTCGGACCACTTCGTCGTAGCGTTTCTGGCTGTACGGCGGCTCGGTGAGGTCCATTTTGTTCACGCAGACTATGATCTGCTTGACGCCCAGAGTGTAAGCCAGTACGGCATGCTCTCTGGTCTGGCCACTCCTGGAAACACCCGCTTCATATTCCCCTTTGGCCGCGGAGACGACCAGCAGGGCAACATCAGCCTGGAAGACAATAGTCACTCAAACACCGCTCTCAAGAGAAACGGACCATTTATTCTAGTTTTGTTACCTGGGATGTGCCAGTGATCATGTTTTTGATGAAGTCTCTGTGTCCAGGTGCGTCAATGATGGTCATGCTGTATTTCTGGATGTTAAACTTCAGCAGAGAGATGTCGATGGTGATTCCCCGCTCCCGCTCAGCCCTGAGC